GTTCATCTATGATGTATCTTGCAATTGTTGTGCAGCTTGAACAAGGTGGATCAATCGGGATTGTTGTAAATTGTCTCATGTTCGTACCACTAACGAATAGCAAGCTTGATGTTGAAGCTACCCAAAGGGCGTTTGCTTTCTATATTGGCCGGTATTGTTCTTCTACATATATTTAATATTCTCCAAATGAAAATATAAACAAAAAAGTTATATATATATATATATATATATATATATATATATATATATATATATATATATATATATATATACACACACACACAAATTTGATTCTACTTCTTACCATCAACTTATCAAGCAGGGTACTGGATCCGTTGATATATGGAGACTACCCTCAAGAAATGCATGAATATCTTGGAAATCAACTACCAAATTTCTCAATCCACGAAAAGTACATTTTGAAGAACAGTATCGATTTTATAGGCATCAACCATTACTCGTCTATATACACTAAAGATTGCACAAACTCTACTTGTTCTCCAACTGCAAATCGTGCAATCCAAGGTTTTTTAGACATTGTGGCAATGCGAGATGGCATACTGATCGGAGAAAGTGTATGTAGGAAATGTTGATTTTTAATTTGGTTTTTGTTTTGTAATATTTGATAATAATGATTTTATCTTTCTTGCACAAATAGACCGGGATAGAAGATTTTTATGTTGTTCCTAAAGGAATAGAGGAGATTGTTAATGAAATTAAGTTTCGGTACAAAAATAAACCCATGTTTATTACAGAAAATGGTAAGGGTGTGTTTTCATATATGTTGAATTAATTATGTGTATGTTAATAGTCCTGCTAATAAATTTGTATTTTTTGAAGGTTATTCTTCACCCGATCTACACGAGAAACGAGTGAATGTTATTTTGAATGACACGAAACGAGTTAAATTCCACCAAGAATATCTTGAATTTTTAGCTAAATCCATAAGGTTTGTTCTAAAATCATTGGGTACTTTGGCTTTTTATATTTTTAAAGTAGCCCATTTTTCATCAAAATTCAAAGTCTACGTATCATTATTTATTGAATGCAATGTTTGTTGTTTTAATGATAGAGATGGAGCAGATGTACGTGGCTATTTTGTATGGTCGTTGATGGATAACTATGAATGGCTTAGCGGTTACAGTGTGAAGTTTGGGTTATACTATGTGGATCGTGAAACACAAACCCGAATACCAAAACTTTCTGCAATATGGTATAAGAATTTCTTATTAAACAAAACTTATCCTATCAATGTTAGAGCATATGCATAAATGATTTGATGCAAAAAGATTGTATGTTGGGTTCATATTGAAACTATCATAAGAATGTACTACTCGTTTATAATAAGTTAGCACTAAAATGGAACCAAATTTACTAATTCTCTTGTATGGTAAGATTATTTTCTTATGAGATTTAAGTTTCGTTATTGTGGTGGTTGTTGAATAAGTTGATAAGAAGGTTTACATGATTCAATTATGTTCATGTTATATTTATGCTTTTATTTCTTAAATGTTTAACAAGATTCTCACACTTAATTCTATTTATTTGCCACAATAAAAAGAGGGACCATTGATTGTTGTTGCTAAATTTGGTTTTATTTTTTAATCTATATTTTACACCCTTTTAAGGATTAACAAATTAGTATCTTTGTTATGCAGCCAATATTATGTGTCTAAACTTCCATAATATTTTTTAGTGTAAAAATTGTTGGTTAGTAAAGCTAGACCATTGGAAGTTAGTGTAACAGTCATTATGAAGGGTCACAATGGTTGAAGTCCAAACCAGTCTAATTTTATATATACTTTATGTATTTCGTTTGATCTAATGAATCACTAATATTTTATATTTAAGAATTTGTTCTTGCAAGAAGTTTCTTGCATGTTATTGATCTCGGAGTTGAACAACAAAGTGGTATCAAGGTCATTGAGTTTTAAGATCAATAAACACTTCACATGTTTTTAAGGATAAAGATTTAAGATGGCTTCACCAAGTAATATGCTTCAACCCCAAATTCCTTAAGTTAAACGGACGAAACTATAATCAATGGAATACACAAATGAAAGCCTGTATGAATCATAAGATTTATGGAATTTTGTTGAAAGCGGATTGAATGTGTTATGACAAACGTAATCAAATACGAATTTGAACAAACAAAAACTTAAATATATAAAATTAATATACAAAGATTCACAAATCAGACGAACATACTTGTATTTGGATGTTTACAGTAGTTTCACTAATCACGAAATTAAGTAGAGATTGAGGTCTGCTTTATAGTGTCCTAAGACAAAAATTTCTCTGGTAGGAATCTATCTACATTATTACAAAAACACTCTTTAATGACACGCATTGTATGTCATAAAAGTTACAGATGACACGCAAATGCATGTCAAGGAAGACCCTGTCATAAAGGAAGACGACATGCATTTGTATATCGTAACCTTTTGGCACCCTCTTAGAACACGCAATGTGTGTCAAGGAAAGCCCTATCATAAAGAAGATGGCACGCATTTGCGTGTCCTAACCTTACAACGTGCATTTACGACTCACATTGTGTATCATTAAAGCCTTTGTCATAAAGAAAGACGACACACATTTTTGCATGCCATAATTTTAAACATTTTAAAGTATGTATATATTTTTTTGATAGATTTACTAATTATCAATTTTAATAACCTATTTAAAGTCTCATAATAAAAAATAAAATACTTATATAACAAAACAATTCATTTCATAAAATAAATGTACTAATATTGAAAATAAATCCCATTTAATTATTATTTTATTAACTCCAGTCAAACTAGAAAAGCAAATATTCTTGATCCAAATAACAACAAACATAAAACACAAACTATTTTGGAAATTTGGATATTTTTTACTTGTGCACAATGTAATAGCGCCTTTTTTTATTAACTACCATAGTGTTGATTCGGCTTCTTCCACTGTTATAATCCTTGTCCTTCTTCAAATACCTACATGTGTATGTTAAATTGCATTAACACAAAGACAAAGGTAAAGTGATAATTATATGGAATACTACATTCACCTAAAAAATACCAAACTGAAAAAAGGATACGATAAATCTTCTTTTAACATAAGGTTTATAGGAAATTTTTATAAGTTTTTAATGCATATACAAGTTACACATATTAACTTAGGGTTTGTACAGAAAGTATGACTCATACAAACAAAGATAAGCAAACTTACCCTAATTTGCAAGCAAGTGTGGTCAGTGAAATTGTATACCACTCCTATGGTGCATCCCATCATTGTAGGATTGGCCACTCCAATCCACTTCCCTACAGAACATTCCACAATTAATCAGAATCAGAACTTGCAAATTTACAAACTTGAATCAGAATTACAAAAAGAACAATCAGAAAAAGTAAGATGAAAAACAAAATAAAAGATATAGTTATGTCAAATTTAGAAAACAAATACACTAATTGCATTTGTTGTATTTGCTATCCCACTCCAATTTGCTTCCCTAGCTGCATGTGCTATCAAACTCCATCTAATTGTCCTTGCACCTAAACAAACAAACATATGTCAAATTCATAAAAAAAAATACCCACCCAACCATTTATAGGGTCTATATCTATTTTTAGTCGTCTGATATTTCGGCAAACATGCATTACCTTCAAGGATGAAAACTTGAAGGTTGGATCCATGGAAACTAGAAATCAAATTTTCAATTAATGAGCAAAATTAAAAAATAGAAATTAAAGATTAATGAGGATCTCTTACCTATTGTAGCATCCACATAATACATGTTGTAGTATCCACATAATATTCAAGGACCAAAAATGTAAATTATTTTAGTATCTATGTATTATGCACCTGCATCCTCAAGAGGTTTTGCAAATGAATAATAAATAGCATGCTCTGTTTTGGTCCTGAAAAAATTAAAATCCAGCAAAAAATATATAAAATGAGTTGTTATTATAACACAATATTTATAAATTTAACTTAGAAATTTTGTAGCCAGGAATCTTCGAGTCATCCCATTGAGAAGAAACTTATCTTTGTCTCAATAAAATTGTGAATATGGATACTTTTTTTGATCGAAATTAGAAATAACCTGTAATAAAAAATTAACCAAAGTTAGAATCAATTTAATTTAGTAAATTTATATGTAGTTTTACCCAAAAAAAAAAACATTAAAATAGTATATATTATACAAAGCTTAAAAAATTGCCAAGTTTTTTTTATGCTCACTCCACCGAAGAAACAACAGTTCCAATTTCTTCCCCTTTGCTTTAGCAGCAACTCTTCCTCCAAGAGTTTGTCAAAAATTAAGGGTTAAATACATAAAATAACAGCATACTTTGATTTTTGTTTATTAATTATAGTATTTTGTTTTCATTTCTTTTTATTACAACATTATACGTTGAAAAAACTATCTATAATAAGTTTATAAGTTTATAACTGTGTGCTTTCAATGCTTTCCTTATATCTCTCAAGATAAAACCTTTTAAACATATAAAACTGATTAATGAAACAATGCCTAATTAACTAATATTAAAATACAACAATCTTTTTTTATCTAAACTATTATGGAGCCCTTAACATCAAGTTGATTTATGTAAGAGAATAAGGACTTAGTATAGAAATACACAAAAAGGGATTAGGAAAAGTTGTAAATAAAATCTAACCTTTTGGTGAATGAGTTAGTTGCATTCCACTAGATAAGTATTCTTGTTAAGTAAGTTGGTCTGCAATGAGCTGGTTGTAGCTTGGAGCTAACTTCTACTAGTTATCATTTCCTTGGGCCAAGAATTAAAAAGATACATTAGCAAAAGAGTGTGTCACCCCCCAAACCAAGATAGCGGAAACATCAACGGGTGGATGACCTCATAAGAGTTTTGTATGGATAAAAATATGAAATTCTTTCCTTGTAAAATGATAGTGTTTGTCCCTAGAAAATCCAATATTTTCTTAAAAATGAGTTGTAGTCTTAAAACCCTAAGACCTATATATATATATATATATATATATATATATATTAATATATATATATATATATATATATATATATATATATATATACGTATTTCTATACTTCAAATAATATTACGCAGTTTTATTCTTATGTAAAACCATTTGAATGCATGTTACCCCGTAAACTAAATGTATTGTTGATTTCCCATGTGAGTTATAAAACCAAAGTTGGCCTCCTACGATGTTTTTTAAGCGTCGGAATGTTAAACATTTGTCACCCCAGACCTACCGGTCTAGCTGTAGCTAGCAGCTTAGGTGTAGGACTATCAGTCCCGTATAGATCTATACACAAGTGTCACGGTCTCTTACCGAAATTTTGGCTATAATTTAGGACTTTAATGTGTACTCTGGTAGGTATGGTGAAGACTTTGTCTCGCATAATTGTTTCAACAAGTTTACGTTTAGTGTAATGAGAACCCTTGTAAGTGTAAATATCACATTTCCATAGTATTTACATAGTGTAAAATAATTATACTTTTATATAATTATTCATCTTGTCCCAAAACGTTAAATTAGTGTTAATGATCCATAAACTATACATATTATAGTTTATTATAAATGTTTTGTTTGTGCCTATATATACAAACATAGATATAAACATAACATATAATTTTATATCTAACACAAGTATATGAACATTTAGTATGATGAAGTCAATTTTCTAGTTTTTGACATTTTTAGTCACCAAACGGTAAATATTGAGTTATACACTTTGTAAAATTTATTTTCACCTTTTTGTGGAGATTAAGTCAAGCTAAACTTATGTGTTTAAAACAACATATTTTGGGTCAAATCTCTCAAAAATGGTACCATAACCTAGTCATGACAACTTTTGCTAGAAAACCCTAATTTTACATAAAAATGGTGGATTTTTAGGTTTTCTTTTTGTAAAACCAAATTCTTGGTATTTATAACTAGTTTCACAACATATGCCCAAAATAATATATGTTGGTTTATATCCCACAAAAATGATATAATATCTTGGTTATAACCATTTTGCCATAAAAGTCATTTTATGTGACATCCCCAAAATAACAGCCACAAAAGACCAGTTTCATTTATGTTTTTAAAATAATTTCAGAGTAAATCCTTTTGATTTAAAAGAGTTGTGGATTTTGTTCCCAAAACAAAATATGATAAAATAAAATTTATCAAAGAATTTCATCAAGAAATGTATTTTCATTATACAACAAAATTCGGGATGTCATGTTCCAATACAGACCAAAAAGCATAAACAACATATTACAAGCCATAAAATAGTTATATGCATGTACATGCATATAAAAAAATAACTTGATGATCCATCCATCTCATGCCCTCGCCCCACTTCCTGTAATACAAATAAGACTAAGTGGGTCAGGCTTGGGATCCTGGTGAGCATATAGGGTTTTCAACCCACTATAAGTAATTATATTTAATTTCATCCACCAACAATAACCCAATTACCCATTCCCGTT